CGGTCCCACCTCTGGTGTTTTGTTTCATTCACACATATTTTAGTAACCCTTTATTATATAACTGAAAGGTTTTCATTCCGCACTCTTCTCTCCAATTTATGTCTCTCTTTTTTAATTTTAATCTTCATGATTATTTATGTTTTGATTTGTTTTTATTATGATTTTAATGTATTTCTTATTCTGTAAAGCACTTTGAATTACTTTGTGTACGAATTGTGCTATACAAATAAACTTGCCTTGCCTTTATTATTAGTCTGTCTACATCTTCGAAACTCAAAATGCTCTGTTCCACTTTGTGATGTCATGAAGTGGTAGTTTTCAAGTTAACAGCTTCTTTTACCTTTTGTTCTGAAGAGATTGGCGATTCCAGGTCTGAAATTATCCAAATGATTTAGTGACGGTGCATGGCATGAGTGAATCAAACAAAATACAACTCCGAGTAGGTTTTTGATGAGGAAACAGCATTGTAACATCAATCAGAAAATTGAGTAATATGGGCCTTTACGGTTATTATGATCACATGCTCAAAATAAAAAACAGTGGTGATACCTGTTGAAATTACATTATAAGTAGTAGTTGAGTAAAGAAGTTTCTCGACATAGGATTCTTTAAAATGTGTTTGCTTCTTCAAGCTTTCTCCTCTGTATGAGGAAGTTTTATAATTTAAATATCTACCATAAGGTCTTACATAAATCTATCTACCGTGTTGGGAAGATAATTTGATGTAAACTCAAGAGAGAAAAAACTAAATAAAAATCAACAAATAATCATTCTTTGAGCTACCCCCAACTTGACTTAAATTAAACCCAGATGGACATTTGTTGTAAGATCTATGCCAAATGAAAATGTAAATAACCACACACTAAAAGGCAGATGGTTTACAGTGGCCAAACAGAAAGGCGATTTGGAGCAGACAACTTGTTCTGATGATGCGCTGACTTCAGATCAACACTTTTTTTCAAGAGGGGAGTTTTCACTGACCCACTAAAAAGCTTTGAAATTCAAACTTCTCTCTCCTCGTTCCAGCCTTCCTCCCCTCCTAACCTCTTATAATTCTCATCCACTCCTCATCTCATGCTACTCCAAATTCTGAGAGCGTCCTACTTCCTACATTTGGCTCTTGCTCACCACCGCCCATTACCGCTGGTAGTCTATCTCTGCCTTGCACACATTTATAGCGAAATAAGCACGCCGTTAAGTGACAGACACCCACTGCCGACACAAAACTGCTCAAACATTTCGCGTTAACAAATCCTGACACCAGAGTCACACATGAGCAGCCGAAGTCCTATTCACCGTGGCATATAGAGTGATGGGGTGGTATTTTGGAGGTGGGGGCTCAGGTGGAGGCGGGACGCAGAGGAGTTAATTACCCCCACGCAATCAATATTTCATTACGCTGTCAGTACGTGTGTCTCGAGGTCTTTCCGTATGTGCCTTGGCATGTTTTGCGTGCACGTAAGCATGAAGAGAAAACTCCCCAACTAAGCATTTTCTTTCGGAGATTAAGAGGATTGACTCCGTAATGGATTAACCTCTGGGTGTGTGTGTAAGCGTGTGTGCGTTGTGTGTTTTAGTGTGTGTTGGGTAGGGATCAGAGACTCTATGTATGAATTGATTAGCCTAAGAAGCTCCTCTCCCCTTCCTATTTAATGACCACATCAGCAGTTTTTCACCAGCGCACGGGGTGGATAAATGGGGGAGCTGTCTGTCACGGAAATGAGACGCCGGCCCTTTAAGATGGTCTCGCTGTCATTCAAAGCGCAGTCTCTGGAGCGCTCCCCGTGGACTTGGGAGACCCTGCTGCGTCAGGGTGTCTACTGTGATAGATGCCGTCTATGTGTTTGTGCATGTCAGTTTAAGCTACACTATGTGATTTTTGCTCTGTGGCGGCCTTCCTGTCTACTTGCCCTGTCTTCAGAAACCATATTTTGACAAGCCTATCACACAAAAGGATAATGCAAGTCATAGTTCTTCACAAGTTTATGAACATTTTTAAGCAATGGCAAATACATCAGAAACGTTGTAATTACTTTTCGCTACAGATTTTAGCATTTTGACTTCTACTTGCTTCTTCAAAAATGATTTTTTGAACAATAGCAAGCCCATTTATCCATTGCAAATATGTCACAGTGAAGTAAAAGCATAAAGTAAAGGGCTGGATTTTAGAACTGTTCTGTTAGTTATTTATAGTTTTACTTCACTAGAGACATGTTAAAGGGCCCATATTATGCTGTTCGAGATCTATGTTACGGTTTCCTCATTGCATGTTTTATTCACACATATTTAACACATGTTGCATATTTAGAATGAGGCTACGTTTATATGATGACGGTCTGAACAGGAGATGCAAAAGCGGCATCTTGTCTCCACTTTTTATTGTGTGTTTAGATGAGCGTATTCAGGAGTGTGTGGAATTTGATTGGTTATGCATGCCGTCTGTCTCGCCTGCAACGAACTGATGAATCCAGAATTTGACAGAGGTGATTGCAGATCCTTCTCTGTTCACTAATAGTGTCTCTGCATATTCTGTACATTTGTTGGGAGCCTCCTGTAAGTTTATTAAAATTGCCAGAGCAGCTTGAAGGTCCGACGCATGGAAATTATCTAACATGTTTGTTTCTGTGTATGTTTGTGATGTAAACATGTAAGCGACGTGAGCAGATCTGACCAGAGTTTTGTGTCTTGGGCAGTGGAGACAGAAACAGCAGAGTGTGTTCAACTTTTCCACTCTGGAAGTGGTTTCAGATTTTTGCGCTTTTAAGCCCCGAAAACGCCGTCACCATCTAAACGAAAGGCACTTCCGATAAAATATTTTGTCTTTTCTACCCGCAAGCGTTCTTGTGTAAACAGGCCCTGAATTCTTCTATCAAACAGAAAACACTCCGTTCCTCCTTGTGATGTCATGTGGTAATACAGGAAGTGCACCATTGTGTTTTTACACTCCTTATATTCACTAGAATCATTTGGTTGATTTCACCCCTGGAATTTCCAATCTTCACTGAACTAAAGGTAAAGGGCAGAAAATTACAGCTTCACCACATCGTCACCAGGTTTTTATGTGGTGGTCAAATATGTGAATGAAACAAAACACAACTCCAGGTATGTTTTTAAGGAGGTAACAGCATTCTAACATAGCTTAAAGCTCAGAAGAGTCAGTTTTGTGTAATATAGGATCTTTACGTGACCTTCCTTAAGATATAAAATCACAATAATTAGTTTGAAGGATTTAGGGAAGAGGCAGTTCATACCATTACAGCTGCAGATATCTCAGAAACAACTTTCAAAACATGATGAAGAGCCCAAAATACATATAGTGTTTCTCTGTCTAAGGGGGTCGCAATCTCTGTGTCTATCAGCAGGACTTTGGTTTTATAACTATGCAAACACCAAAGCCTGCGCATTCATTAAACAGCAAAAATTGTAAGCAGAATCACCATATATGCTAAATGGGGGAGGAATAACAGCATGACAAGGGAAACATGGACAGAAAATGACCATTTACGCAGTTGGAGGTGACGACGCGCCCACTCAGTCCGCGTCCTCCGCACAGCACAACTCTTCAGGGGATTTTACACGCACAGACCCTCCCTAAAAAGGATTCAAGTGGTATCCACATTCACATATTGTTGCACACGGGCAGGGGGTGAGTCATGTCCACTGTATTAGATCGTGCTTAACAGAGGCCTCATGTCTACCAGCAGGAGCAGTAGCCACAGTATCTCGGGGACTCACACGCAGCTAAGGCCCAGTGACAGCTCCTTTGTGCAGATAAAATGTATGTTGGGATGCTAGCAACGGGGAGCGCGCTATGGTATGTCAGCAGATGTGTGAATATAAAAGAGGAAGTGCAGTGGGAGGGCGAGCGAAAGGGAGCCTGTCAAAGGAATTAAGTAAAGGATAGTTTGAATTAGAAGAATTAGATGCGCAAAAGTAGTACTTGTCAAAAGTAGTAGTTGTGATACTATCAAAAAATGACAACTTAAAGTGTGTAAACTGTGTAACTGTGGTGGAGGGTCCGTCACCTGCTTGTTTCTATGGATGTCATGTCATTGCTCTGCCTGGAATATTCCACAGTATGATTTAAACAACTCTACCTTACATTTATTCAATTACAGGTGAGTTTACAGCTCAAAATACCTTAAAAAAACAGGCATTCTGACTGTGAGTGGGGTAGCCTTTCCACAGATCTGACCTGTAACTTGGTCTGATTTGGTCTCCTTTAAGATTTTTTAAAACATTCCAGGCAAAGTAATAACATTTCCATGGAGAAAAGCCTTTGATGGACTGTCCAAAATAAAAGTGCAACTTTTTTGCTGTTTTAAAAAGTCATTTTTTTTACTAAATTTGATAAGATCCTTGTGTGACTGATGTGTGCTCTTACAGAAACACACACCTAAGCCTGTCACGAAAATCACTATATCAGCTTATGGTTCAGTATATGAAAGCTGGAATAGTACATTTTGGAGGTCAATATTTATCACATGTACTTTTTCTTTGCACTTCTGGGAAATTTGTGGTTATTTTTTGGCAACACGATAAGATTTAAGCCGTAAGAGGTTTAATTAAAAACTTCTATGACTCATTATAGATAAGAACTAAGTGCAAAAGTGCTTCATTCTGCTGTTTATTTATTGCCGCTCATGATGTTTTAACCATATTGATTAAGAATAGTTTTGTGGTTTAAATCTGCTCAGTTATTGTGTCACTGGCATAAATTAGCTGCCATATTATTGTTTATTGTCTATATTTAAATCAACAATATATCAAACTTCAAGTTTTGTTATTGTGACAGGCCTACACACACCATTCACTCTCATATTCTTTCTCTGCAGGCAGTTTAGAGTCTTGTTTTGGGAGATTGCATTTTCTGGACTGAGGATTGAACTCCCCTGATGGTAGCCAAGAGCGCCAGCCGTTCTCCCACCATTCCCACCCAAAATCTTTTACGGAAAACAAAGCACAAGCGGCAAAATTGAGAAAACCCATGGAAGTCTTACCTGTTTGCTGTACTTGTTCCCGGTCTGGCAGCCGTACTCGGAGCACTGGTCAGACCCAAGGGACATAGCGTCTGCGTTGCCACTGCCCCCACTGCTGCTGCTGCTGGACCCGGCACTGCCCGCACAGCCCCCACTGCCCACAAACGTGTTGGAGGGGGGCAGCTCCTGGACCGCCTGGTGTTTCTTGCCCTCAGCCGGTGGTGAGTGTGGCTGCAGATTGACCGCGGGGAGAGGAGAGCTGGATTTGTAGTGCCGTGCCAGGTCTGGACTGGACTGGTGCCTCCTTCCTCCACCCATACGAGGGCTGCCGGGGTCCCCGTCCACGGCGCAGTACCTGGCCGCTAACCGCTCACTCGCGCTACTCATGTCCTCCTCGTCCTCGTCATTGGGGTGGCGTCTGAGTCCGTTCACGGTGACAATCCCGCTGTACATGGACCGGTCTGACTTCGTTGACGTCGCCGTTCCACCTCCGCCGCCATTCCGTTTGTCTCGGCGAGGTTTGCGTCCACGATCTGACCCCCCACCGCGGACCCCCTGCGGTTGTGTACCAGGGGGGCTGAAGAAGTCCTCCTCGGGCTCCTTCTTACCTGCCTCATAGCCGTTCTTACCCTGAGCCCCACACTGGCGAGCTGTGACAACAAGAAGGATCACCAGGATGACCGCTGCGGCCCCTGCCAGGACGCCAATAGCTACACTGAGCCTCTGTTTTCCTAACGCACGCTCGCTGTCTGGGTCCCCCGCGATGTCCAGTGACAGAGGCGCCATCAGACTCTTGGCCACCTGGGAGGGAGACAGATAGAGGGGAGAGCAGAGCAGAAAATGAGTCAGTAAAGGATGACACAGTGGGCGTCATAGAGTCATAGAAACACATCAAACAACATTTTCAACTTAATTAAAGGCATCAGTGTGCGCTAGTGGGGGAGCTTCTGCATTATTCCCCGATTTATAGAGTGTCACTAAATATATAATTGCTCTTGCTTCCCATTGCAACATTTCAAGTTGTGCCTGTGATCTCACTTCATCCGCACCGGTACAGCCAGGCAGCCTCGGATTAAACCTTTTAAAGCTGATTACAGTGAATAATGGGTAGAAGAAGAAGCCAAACAGGAAGGGAAAAGTTGCCAAAACACTGGGCCTGTCACGATAATTACTGTCATGATAATTACATTATCGACTTATCATTCAAAGCTGAAACAATATATTTTGAGACTCAATATTTATCAATGTTTTCTTTGCAATACTGGGGGTTCTTGGGGTTTTTGGCTACACAATGCAATTTGAGAAGTAAAAGGTTTGAGGTGCATTGTGTAACTTTTCTGGTGGAGGGTCCTTCAAATACTTGTCTCCATGGAGATGTTATTGCTTTCACTACTATCTTCATGGAGACCAAACCAGACCAAGTTACAGCTCATATCTGTGGAGAGGCGACCCCGCTCACAGTCAGAAGGCCTGTTTTTCTACATATTTTTGAGCTGTACAACCACCTGTAATTTATTAAATGTACGGTAGAGCTGTTTAATGTCATACTGTGGAACATTCCAGGTAGAGGAATGACATATCCACAAAAACAAGCAGGTGATGAACACTCCACTGGAAAATTTACATATTGCACCTTTAAATTAATAACTTCTGTGACTCATTATAGATACAAACTAACTACTGAAGTGTTTCAGTCTGCTGTATATTTATTACACCTCACAATTTTTTTGACAATATTGTAGATTCAGAATTGTTTTTGTGGCTTAAATCTGCTTTGGGTTATTCTGTCAGTGCTTTAAATTTGTAGTAATATTATGATTTATTGTCTATATTTATTTCAGCAATATATATGTCGCACTCTAAATTTCCTATCGTGACAGGCTTACAAAACACAGACTCACATGAAATCTTAAACCAGACAATAAGAGTATTCTCCAACCACATCTTCTGCTCTGTCTCATCCGCGAACAATGTGCGTATTGTAATTGACAGAGTGGGCGAGCATTTGGTATCATGATTTTTCGCACTGACACTTAAATGGATAAATCATGACTAGCCCACTCTAAATATGTGAATTCCATGGCATCAATTATGTGGATTTCTTATTCTTTCTTTTCCTGTTCTTTCTTGTTTGGCAATGCAAATCCTCTACCACCTAGTGTGCGATAATGAGTGGTGAATGGAGATTTTGGATACATTTGACATTACATCGTATGCTGTGTGTTCATCCACCACCCTGTTAAACTGGCAAAAGAGATACTACAACAGAGTGCGATATATTGCTGAAGTAAATATAGATGATAAACAATAAAACTGAAACAACTTCATGCCACCGAAGCAATTACCCAAAAGCAGATTTAAATTACACAAACTATTCTAAATGTAAACAAAAACAAAGGCTACATCCACACGACAGCTCTCCTGGATTTTTTTTATTTTTTTGGTTGAAAAAAATTCGGATCAATAAATATTCACTTCCACATGACAACGAAGCACTGAGTGAAAACAATGCAACACATATGCCACACCTATATGTGGTGCTGTAAACAGGATACAGTCAGAGCCACAGGACACACAATACTATGAGGAGCGCATGTGTATAAAGTCCTTCCTGTGCGGGGATCTCTTCTGGTCATGTGGTGATGACAGGGTTGCAACATCATCATTTTCCAAAAGCTATGGTTTGGTTGCCCACATGACAATGCAACACCGGTGTTCTCAGATCTGAGCCGGAATCTGGAACCCGTTTTCAAACCCAATTTTTGCCCATTCAAAACACCAGCTCCATGTGGAAGAAAGGCCAAAACAAATGTATATCTTGTCTGTTGGAGAATCTGTCATCTGCTTGTCTCCATGGAGATGTGACTAGAATGTTCCACAGTATGGCTGTAAACTAAAGAAACTCCATGAGGACTTTTACAAATTATAATTATAAATTACATGTTAGATTTGTGAAGAGGTGACCCCACTGAGTGAGAATGAATGGTTTTAAGATGTTTTTGAGCCTGTAGCCTGAACACCTGTAGTTGAATAAATGCAAGACTGATTAGTTTAATACCGTACAACTTAAACAGAAGCATTAACATCTCTATGGAGACAAACAGGTTGCGAATCTTCTCCAGAAAAGTTACACATTTGACCTTTAAGTACTTGGGTTGCATCTGTAATGAGTTAGACAGTATTAATTCAATCCTTTTTCTGTTGTGATCACATTACCAAAACATAACAAAAAACTTTCTAGTAACGCAAAGAAAATGCACATAGGGTTAATATTGATCTCCATAAAGCTTTCATATATTGGATGACAAGTTGATATAGTAATTGTCGTGGCAGGCCTGAATACATAGCTGCACTACACTTGTATTCTGAGAAACAGAGCCAGTCAAATGCAGTCTGTTGAGTAGGTAAGTCGGTAAGTCTATCTCTCACATGCACACTTCGCTGCAAGTAATAATCCATTTGTGCAGTATAAATTCTACCATGTTATTTCATTAAACCCAATTTAAAAATACTAGGAGTTCACAACGGGGCAAAGTAATGAAGTGCATATTAGAACATGTTGCACTGAAGGATGGGCTCACATATGAACACAGTCCCCACACATGCTTTAAGCCAGTGCTCTAATAAAAGGATCATTACTGGGAGAAGTGCCTGAAGTCTAAGCATGCCCATTACTTGTTATGGAAGCACGCATGACAGGAAACAATGAGGCTGCAGTGGTGGTCCATGCTAACCGTAATACAGGCCATGCGTCTGAATATAGTTAATCAATACTGAGAAACCATGCGGGGCGTTTCATTATACAACAACGCTCATGCATGGAGATATATATACACTTGCTACCTACACGGTCCCACACACAAACCAGCAGGCACGAGCTGTCAGGGAGACATCTCATTCAGTGGCTCTGACCCCCGCATCTCACGGTCCACACGACAATTCTTTTAACCTGTCAAAACTAGCTATTATACAGTCACGTAATCCCTGCTACCGCGCTATGTAATAGGCTTCAGGAATGAATAGGTAAGAGATACAAAGTCAAGGTTAAAAAAAAAGAAAGACTTCAATTTTCTTTTCCCAGGGATTGGCTCAGAAACGAAATAAAAGGACTCGTATGGCAGAATTTGTTATATACCGAAGTGGCATATTACATTATCCCCAGCTAAGAATAGTTCTGTGTTAGGCTTCGTATTTTTATTGTTATCCATCTGCGGGTGAAGCTGTATTGTTTCTAAGTGACTAGGGGTGTACTGAGTTATAGTTGTTGTACAGTGGAGGACAGACCTCTCTGTGCCTGGCTCTGCTTTACCAGTCTGCCTCATTGTTCCTACTTGCCTGCAGTATTTCCATTCTCATTCTGCAGGGGATCTGTGTAGCTTAGTGCATCCTAGCCTACTCCGCCGTATTGTGCTTGTAAAAAGGCACAGAAAAAGAGAAAGAGAAGAGAATCTATGTCTATGCAGCTTCTATTCATTCGAGACTGAAAGTGCAAGGTGTACTGGCAACTTTTACAAGCACGGCATATAGAGTGCTCAGTCTATCTATAGTACAGGGCAGTGTGCTCAAATATGCACTAGAAAGCCCATATATCAATGTATGCATCCCCAAAGTCCCAATGGAATCTTCAATGGAGGCGCTTTAGCTGTGTCCCAAGCTCCGATTCACACCACCACATATCTGCTCTCTCCTCCAAGGACTTGGTTATCTACATGTCACTGCACATGCCGATGCTCACAGCACAGAGGGGAAATTTTCCAAGACCGCAATATTGACCCGAGCTGTACAGGCCCTAAATCTTTGTCTGACTAGTTCAATACACTTGTACTTGTGGGAGGAATAAGAATAGAAACAAATAAATTAAAGTTGGAAAGGTTCGGGATACACTGAGATAACTTGCTGGTGTTAGTATTGATTGAAATGTTTTAACGCTGCATTAGTGATGTGCTAAAATGTGCCTGTACAAGTCTTGGTTGAGGTTCAAATATTACACAAAGCAAGAATGCACCATAAAATTAACAAGAAAGGGGCAGAAAAATCATTTCATAACCTTGTTGGGAAGATTACTCTAGGAGATTCTGTTCATTCTGTTCTTTTTGTGGAAATCTTGAATAATTTTAACTGTTCATGACTTTCAACTTCCTATCATTTGTGACATTTTGACAACTTTTTCCCATTGAAAAGGAAAAATATTTAGTTTTTAATTATTACGTGCTATGGCAACAGTCCAAATATTCCATCATATTGAAACACATGGATAAATGATTAACTACTAACTATTCATTTTCATTTTGCATATCTCCAAAATAACTGCAATATTATCAGCTTTTTGATATATCTCCAATACGAATTCAGTGATCCGATACTGGCATCGCTTCCAAATATCGGTTCAATTTACTGGTCATAGTTGGCGCAGAAAGTTTTGTAATGTTTGAACTTTTAGTAGCAGTTATATGAGAGATACATCACACATTTTTATCAGTTTTGTCTTACTTTATTTTTGTTTAAAGTCAATAAATGCTGTTTTCAGTCTCTGTGCTGGTATTGGCAGATACTTAAAGCTATAGTATTGGAATCGGTATCAAAACTGAGCCTAAAATGGTAAAAGCAGACTCTGGGGACTCATCAATTTTTTTTTTAAACTTCTGGAGTCTATAATGTACATATTTGTTCACTGTACACATTTCAAAACACTACAAAATTCCTCTTGTATAAATTGTGCAATTGCAGTTTACAGTTTTACTTTGATTTTTTTTGTGATGTAACTCAACAACACGTAACACTTTTTTGTCCAATCTAAAAGT